ATTACAGTTTAGGTTTTTCTACCCTGATTGTGGTTCCTACAGATGTTTCTGTGTGTGTGTGTGTGTGTGTGTGTGTGTGTGTGTGTGTGTAGAGTGTTTCTGCTCTGAAATTTTCATTCTCTGTATCTATTTGTCTCTCCAGCTTTAGGGGCAGCAGTTTTTCCCGTGACTTCAATTCTCTGATGAATCTAAGATTTGTAGGTTTTTCAGCTTGTTCAGCCTTTTACTTGCTGTTAGTATGAATTGGCAACTCCTAATCTCCATACATGTTGGGCATGAAATCAGAAGTCCCTCCATTAGAATTTCACTCATAAAATCCTTAAGTCTAGTTAACTGGAAGACTATTCCCTGGTATTTCAAGCAAAGGGATGAGAATGGAGAAGAAAGAGCTGCCAAAGATGTAGGGATAAGCTCATAGGGCTCTTGAAAGTAGTGAGCTATGGGAACAGGGGAAGAAACAGAGGTGGAGAAAAAGAAGGTCAGGGAAGTTATGAGGGACAGTTTGGGAATTGGAGACTCATGGATGTGGTTGAGGATAAAAGTGACTAGAATGGGTTTAGAAAATATAAGGAAACCTATCTTATCGGATCTTAGGGGTCTATATTACTTTTTCTTCCTGAGATGGATGGTTGAAAAATATGCAATGGGATGTAGATAGACAGAATGCTGATTTGTTTTATGTGCATATGAGTAGAGGTTTCAGAAAGAAGCGTCCCACATTCAGTGGGACCTGAAATAGAGAAATGTTTTTATATCTAGTGTCTAACATAGTTCCTGGAACTTAATGGCTGCTCAATAAATATTTGCTGCATGGATGCATAAATAACAATGCACAGCTTAATCAACACTTTTTGAAAAGTCCTATAATAAAAATTAATTTGACAGTTTATCCGTTATTTCGGTAAGATTCTTCAATGAAAATATAAAAATAAGCATCCCTGGATTCTTGGGTGGAAATCAGAATCTCAAATTCTAGACTACATAGGAATGTACTGTATCAACAGTCTTATTCAACTTCTTTGCAATTAACTCTAAATTCGGTTTAGTTCCTCAATCTTTTTTTTTCTTTTTTTTTTTTAACAGTTTAATGTCAAGTTGGTTTCCATATAAGACAAGTGCTCATCCCCACAAGTGTCCTCCTCCATGCCCATCACCCCCCTTCTCCTCCCCCCAAACCGCATCAGTCCTCAGTTTGTTCTCAGCATTCAAGAGTCTCTCGGGGCGCCTGGGTGGCTTAGTCGGTTGAGCGTCCGACTTTTGCTTAGGTAATGATCTCGCGGTTCGTGGGTTCGAGCCCCGCATCAGGCTCTGTGCTGACTGGCAGCTCAGAGCCTGGAGCCTGTTTCAGTCTGTGACTCCCTCTCTCTCTGGCCCTCCCCTGCTCATGCTATCTCTCTCTCTCTCTCTACTAGAAATAAATTAAAAAAAAAAAGAGTCTCTCAAGGTTTGCCTCCCTCCCTCTCCCCCACTATTTCCCCCCTTCTTCTCCCCCACAGTCCTTCGTTAAGTTCCTCCTAATTCTCCTATACGTGCAAACATATGGTATCTGTCCTTCTCTGCCTGACTTATTTTGCTCAACATAACACCCTCAAGGTCCATCCATGTTGCTACACATGGCCAGATTTCATTCTTTCTCACTGCCATGTAGTATTCCATCATATAGATAAACCACATCTTCTGGATCCATTCATCCGTTGATGGACACTTAGGCTCTTTCCATGTTTTGGCTATTGTTGAGAGTGCTGCAATGAACATTGGGGTCCATGTGCCCCTATGCATCAGCACTCCTGTATCACTTGTGGAGAAAGCAGGAAACAACCTCCATGCCTCCACTGCAGCAATTTCTTACTTGACACATCCCCAAAAGCAAAAGAATCAAGAGCAAAAATGAACTCTTCGGACCTCATCAGGATTAAAAGCTTCTTCATGGCAAAGGAAACAATCCAGAAAACTAATAGGCAACCGACGGAATGGGAAAAGATAGTTGCAAATGACATATCAGATAAAGGGCTAGTATCCAAAATCTATAAGGAACTCACCAAACTCCACACCTGAAAAACAAACAACCCAGTGAAGAAATGGGCAGAAGATATGAACAGACACTTCTCCAAAGAGGACATCCAGATGGCCAACAGACACATGAAACGATGCTCAGCATCCCTCCTCATCAGGGAAATACAAATCAAAACCACACTAAGATACCACCTCACGCTGGTCAAAGTGGCTAAAATGAGTAAATCAGAGAACTCTAGATGCTGGCAAGGATATGGAGACACGGGCACCCTCCTACACCGTTGGTGGGAATGTAAACTGGTGCAGCCCCTCTGGAAAACAGTGTGGAGGTTCCTCAAAACATTAACAATAGAACTCCCCTATGACCCAGCAATAGCACTGCTAGGAATTTACCCAAGGGATACAGGAGTGCGGATGTACAGGGGCACATGTGTTTTTTCCATTTCCATCCTCCTACTCCTTTTCTCCTCTTTCCTCTTCTCTTTTCTCATCTCCTCACTTCCCCCCTTTTCTTCATCCTTTTCTCTCCCTTTCTTCATCCGTTCCTCATGGACCTTGAGGGAAGTAGTCATGGTGGGTATATACATGTGATGGTTTGGAGACGGGGAGAGAAAGGGAGACAGGCAACAGGGAGACGGTTCTCTGTAATAGAAGAGTGTAAGGGAACAATTTGGGTGGTGATACCTGGTGGTAGTGGAGGTTGGAGGATATGTTCAAATGCTTCCTTTATATAACATGCACACATTACTTACACTGAATGGTTTTTGGGGGTGAGATGACTGATGAAGATTATTTCACCCACTCTCAACAATGAGCTGCTGCTGTAGGAAAATCACTTAGCAGTCTATTGCAATTATCCAGGCCAGGTATTATAACAGGTGGAACAAAAATGGCAGAAGAGAAGGGAGGAGCAGACATATTGTAGAAAATGGGCTGTTGAGAACTGCAGAAATCTCAGCACATAACTCTGCCTAAACCCCTGCACCAAGAGACTTTCGATGACTCTCAGCTCTCTGTTGATCCCAACCCTCCATTAAAATGTCTGAGAAAGCTCAACGTATCAAAGAGAATTACTGTTGTTCTATCTAGCCTGATGATAGACCCCTGACCTACTTTTCTCAGATTATTATAAAGGGCTTATAATTGTGATTATGTATCTCTTACAACTTAGAACTGTCTTTTTCAAGGACTTGAAAGCCATCCTACTGAAATGTAATAATCAAGAAGGATAGGGCTTTCGTTTTCAAGTCTCTGTGGGAAGATAGATTCCTAACTTTGATAACTGCCTGCTAACAAACAGCTTAATTGCATTTATACTGACTGACCTTTATAATTTTTCACTTTTCTGACTCAAATGAGGCCTAGTTCTTCCCCCTCCCCCACTGTCCCTTTAAAATGCCCAGTTACGTCTGCACATATTAGAATGGAGCTCAGCTTTCCCTTTTACTGTCAGTATTTATTGAATAGTCTTTTACTTTAACTGAGACTCTGTTTATCTTTTTTTTTAAAATTTTTTTTAATGTTTTTATTTATTTCTAGGAGAGAGAGACAGACAGTGTGAGCAGGGGAGGGTCAGAGAGAGAGGGAGTCACAGACTGAAACAGGCTCCAGGCTCTGAGCTGGCAGTCAGCACAGAGCCCGACGCGGGGCCCGAACCCACGAACCGCGAGATTATGACCTAAGCGAAAGTCGGACGCTTAACCGACTAAGCCACCCAGGCGCCCCGAGACTCTGTTTATCTTTGACACTAAGCATGGCTTAGTTTCACTGTCTGGTATGGAGGGCAATGAATCTAAACTGACTTCCTGGTTTGGGACTCAGAGTCTTTCACCACACACACAAAACTAGACCAAGAGCTTTTTTGGGGGCAGCTGGTGGGTAGGAAGGAGGAAACTAGGAAGTGATAGGGCTAAGGAAGCTGTGATCCGAATAAAATAAGTTTTTCTTGAGGCATGGCAGCTGTGGTGATAAGGGATCATATAGAACAGCAATTGGGGAAATCTGGAAGCAGATAGCACCCTGGTTCTATCCAGTTTCCTTTCCCTTCCAACTTTCTTCTCTCCCTCCCTCCCTCCCTCCCTTCTGTCATTCTTTCCTTTCTTTTAAAGTAACATATACACGTGATATACCCATCTATTTATAGGTATAGATATAGATATATAGTACCAAAGGGCTTAAGATGAAAAGCAATAAATAGTCCCCTCACTTCCTTTCCCCTGCTCCTCTCCAGAAGCAATGCCTGTGAACTGTTTTGGCCATTTTATCTGGAGGTCTCTATGTCTAAATATAGTATGTAAATACCTCTGAATGTCCCTTCAGTTATCAATTTTAGACTTTACTGACTTCTTACTATGGTCTATAAGACTTTATTTCCCTTCCACTTTTAAACAAGTGAGGAGATGAGTATGCGTCCTAGAATTTCAATAATACCTGGTCCCAGCAATAACTTTCATTGCGTGCATACTATGCGAAAGACATAGTTGTAATTACTTTGGGTGTAATAAGTCATTTCATTACAAGCCCGGTTACAGTGATTAATAATAAAAACAGGAAGACAAAGAATTAAAAAGCAAGAAGGGAAAAACGGTATTTCGCTTCCTCACAGAAAAATGTTAAGGGTGAAATAGCAGTCAAAAAAGCAAACCACACACACACACACACACACACACAGAGAGAGAGAGAGAGAGAGAGAGAGAGAGAGAGAGAGAGAGAGAGAGAGAGAAAAGCTGGGGTTGAAGCACCGAAATTGAAAACGTCTCCTTTAATTCTGAGTGGCGGGCCAGTTGGGCCAGGCCGGCCCACAAGGAAATGGCTTACAGGATGAGGGGTCCCCACTGGACTCAAGGCGGAGCGAGAGCGGCTATGGCGACTGGCGGCACTCTGTCTTCTCCGCGCAGTCTCTATGGTAGTCTTCTCAGTTCTCCCGCCCCTCGGGTAGCATCAGTCACGTGACCGGCTTTGGGCTTACGGGAGGTGCCCACGTGATCCTGGCCTGCGGTCGGTGCCTGCGGTGAGGTACCTGGGTTCCTGAAGGGCGGGCGTTTAGGTCATAACTGCCGCTGTCGGCGGACGCTCTCGGGCTACCAGGCTTGGTAACGACAAGCCAGCAGGGGCATTCCTTACTTAGTGCCTACCGCACGGGTCTGCTCTTTCTGCCACCTCCGCCGTCCCCACCTCTTTTCGGGTGAAGTCACCTTTACGTTTCGAGACTTTGGGTCCTGAGGCCCAAACTCGACACGAACCCCCACCACTCCTCTTTTCCACTCATCTTCCGTCCCTTCCTTTGCAGCACCACATCATTGAGCCTTTGAGCTGGCCATCTAGGCTGTTCCTTGAGGCCAAGTTCAAGGCGGTTTAAGGTAACTGTGGGGAAAGCAGCCCCCCAGTGGACAAAGGCGGAGGCGAGAATAGAGCAGGCCTAGCGGCCACAGGCAATTAAATTAGGCGACTGAGCGTGTAAACAACGAGAAAGAAAAAAGAAAGGAAAAAGAGTACTGCGGTTTAGAAAGGACTGGAAAGGACTTGTTGCACGATGGAAGAATCTGACTCTGAAAGAAAGATGGAGAAAGAGAATCTGGGGCCAAGAATGGAGCCTCCCATAGGGGAACCTGAAGGATCGCTTGGGTGGGTGAAGTTTATTATGTCAAACCTGGAAATGGGGGGGGGTTCTAACCGAAGAAAATATTATGAATTACAACACCATACCTATGATAAATTGCTTCGATTTACCAGTAAGGTTGATTGGGATCATGCTTTTGGTGACAGGATAAACTGGAAAGAGGATTGGTTGTTAACTGGGCAGAAACAGTCTTTGGGATGGGCCTGATATCACTCCCGAGGTTGGCGGTGAGTGTTCTGAGAAGATAGTTCTGTTTCTTAGAATTATCAGTAAAGGAGATTTAACATCATCATGTTGAGGATAAGACGGCTGGGAGATTTAACATCATCATGTTGGTATTTCCGAGGAAGAGATAGTGGCTTGAGAGTACTTTCAGTGCCTTTTTATACCTGAATTTGAGATTTATATTGTATATATTTTGTGTGTGTAACGAGTAAAATATGACTTGGAAGGACAGCTGACTAAACATACTTCCAGGTTTTAAAAATAGGCTAACTTAAAAATAATAGAGGACATTCAAATAAGACAGTATTGTTTTACTTAAGCACTTGGCATATGTTGCTTTGATAAATTTTTTAAGATAAAAAAATCAATAGTGAATTTCATGGCTCATTTATATCACTAAATAAATCTTAGGAGCCATCTCCTGAGCACTATAATTAGGGGTTAGGGAACTTGAATCCAGTTTTATAATTTAGGAGAACAAGGGCCTCTTTAAACTGAGTTCCTACACTCAGCTGTACTCCACTGTTGTGCTAAACGTGTTCTTTTGCAGCTCCACGTTTATTTGTATTTTTTAAATTCCAATTTCTAAGGCAATGGATCCTGGAAACTGTCTTTTGGTTTATATCTGCAGGTGGGTGCTACCAAATACAGCCATGAAGAAAAAGGTAAGACATGTTAAGTACGTCAAATACATGAAAGTAAAGGTAAGAAGATATGATTCAGGAAATATATTTGTGGTGTATATATATCATCTTTCCTGGAGCATTTCAGGAATCTTCTACATTTTCTCTTTGACTCTTGTCCCCTTCTTTGCTATCAGATTTAATTTTTCTAATATTTAAATATTAGAAAATATGGGTCATTCACATACTTACCAAAGCCCATAGAATAAAATTCAAGTGACTTCATCATATAGAATGCCCTTTAAAAATCTATTCCTGACTAAACCAATCTGCCACACCTGTGCACCTTGTCATAGCTATACAGAATCTGTTTTTCTCCAAATTTACAAATTTGCATTTTGTGCAAGCCATATATAAACACTTACACAGGCCTCTTCCTGCACATTTTTGTGGAACCCAACTTAAATGTTACCTCTGTAATGTCTTGTATGAATTTTCCTTTTTTTTTTTTTTTTTTTTGTATGAGTTTTCCAAGTGGAATTGAGCATTCCTTCCCTTGTGCTCTTATGGTACTGTGCCCCACCTGGAAGGTTAGGCAGAATCAATAAGGGCACATTTCTGGAGCAAATTTCTGAAACTTGGGCTTTTAGTTTCTTCATTTTTAAAATGGTGATAATAGTATGATCTATCTCATATGAATTTTAAATTATTAAATGCATGTGCAGGCCCTAAGTTAGCACCTAATACAGTTAGCTTTGGTTAGTCTTCTGTAAGCAGTTGAAGATTTCTTAAATTGAAAAACACAAGATAATCACCATATTTATCCTTAACTTCATCCAGTAATTCAGTTATATAGCTTAGTTTGCTAGAGGAATGTTCTCAATGAGCCTGTCCAAAGTTGCTATTGGGGTGCTTGGGTAGCTTATTAATCACTTGAGCATCTGACTCTTGATTTTGGCTCAGTTTATGATCTCATGGTTCATGAGATGGAGCACTGCATCTAGCTTTGCACTGATGAAATGGAGCCTGCTTGGAATTCTCTCTCTCTCTCTCTCTCTCTCTCTCTGCCCTCCCCCGCTAGCACTCTCTTTCTTCTCAAAATAAATAAATAAGCTTATAAAAAAATAAAGTTGCTGTCAACAAGGTGGGCTAAAAATACCAGAAATTTCTATGTGATTACGAATAAAATAAAGTTTATTTTTGCAACAATCTTAGACTCGCTTGTCAGTAACATTTCCTGAGTGAGATAAAGTTATGTAGCTAAATAGCTAGATTAAATTGAGCCTGAGTGCAGTATACTTTTGTTAATATTCCCTATATTTGTAATTAGAAAATTTCATAAATTATCTACGGGTTAAAGAAATAACCTTTACCCCCTTCATTTGAAAAGCAAGGTAACTGGAACTATAGTCCATAAATTTTAAATTTTGAAAAGACTGAGAAGTCACCAGATTCCCTCCTAGTGCAAGAATCTATAGTGTCTTTGATAGATGTTTTTCTGTCTTTGTTAGGTGCTGACATTGATGTTAAGGCTATTCGCCTTCATAAGTTCACTTTTTCCATTGGAAAGTTCTCAACATTAATAACTTGCTTGTTTTATATTTTCATTTTGATAGCTTGGTCATTCTTTTGATGAATGTATTTTAAGCATCTGTTATATGTTAGGCACTGGAGATACAAAGGGTATTCTCTCTGCCATTCAAGAACTCAGAGTCTTGTGAAAAACAGATCAAAAATTCCAGATAACCACCATGCATTATGATCTTTGCAATGCTCTACAAGTGCCATGGGAGGAAAGAGGTGAGATGCATTTAAGCCACCTTAGGACATTGAGGTCAGAGAAGCTTCTTGAGGAGAAGTTTACTGAACCAAGTCTTGAGAGATGAATGGTGCTTAGCTGAAGGAAGAAAAAGGAATGGAAAATTATTGGCAGAGAGTACAGCATGAAACAGAGACATAGAGCTGGGCTCCCTGGATTCCTGGGAGCAATCAAAGTGGATATAAGCGGTTCGGTTCAGTTCAGTATGGCTGGACTCTAAAAGTTCCAGGCCAGGAAGGTCAGGAGGTAATGGCAGAGGATTAGATAAGCCAGATCAAGGAAGTTCTTATATGTTGTTTAAGGACTTGATCTTGTAGGCCATGGGACACTTAAAAAATAAAAAATATACAGAGTCATTAAAGAATAAAATCATAGAGTAAGTAGAAGGGATGAGATTAAGGGCAGAGGTGGAAAGGTTGACCTTGAGCAGGAGGAAACTTTCAGTTACAGTGAAATCCCCTGCCAGGTAATTGAGTGCATGAAGCATTAGATCATGAGAGATCAAGGTTTGATTTCCTCAAGTTGTTATTTCTCTATCATAGTTCTGAATATATGATAATGTTTAATGGTAGCATAATACATTCATACGTTTATATTGTCAAGAGGACATGTGATCCACAACAGGTAAGTGCCTGGTCTCTGGAATTTTAGGTATCTCTGCATTCATCGCTGGTCAGGGAACTAGTTAGTTACAAGTATTTGCAACAGGTTGTTGGTATTTTCACTTCAGTAAAACATCAAGTACAGGAGAGAAATAGGTCCCTTTAGACTTGATTAGCTCTAGATTTCTAACTTCATTGTTTTTTCTCACTTTGTCCTTAGGTGCTGTTGATGGGTAAAAGTGGGTCTGGTAAGACCAGCATGAGGTCTATTATCTTTGCAAATTATATTGCGAGAGACACACGTCGCCTTGGTGCAACAAGTAAGATGTTTTATCTTATTATGGAATCAGGTGATATTAAGTATTAATAATATGCATAAGGCACTTGGTTGCAGCAAATTAGGGATGCAGAGGTTGAGAGATTTGTTTTGAAGCATGTTTCCCCTGTTTTTCATTCCTTCTCAGAGGGGTGTGGTCTAATTCTGGTTACTACTGTTTGCTCTCTTGGGGAGGGTCTTTCTAGGTTGCTTACCAAGTGGGATACCCTTGCCCAGCTTGTTTTTTATCTTGCTCTTTCTTAAACAAACATAGGGACTCTTTTGTTTGATTATTTATTCCTTTTTTGTGAGGGGTTGTTTTTAACTTATTATATAAAAGGAAATTACTTGCTAGGTATTACAAGCATAACAATTAAAAATCTCTAAGATTTTTTAAAAAGCTGTTAGTCATTAAAAGGTAAATTCTGGGTGACAGGGGCTGTGGGTGGGAGGTTAACTTGATGTGTACTCTCTGCTGATTCTCTTCCTGGATATATATAGATGTTCTCAATGGAGTTCCAGCTCTGACTTGAGAAATGTTTCATTGCCCTTTTTTGTTTGAATGTTAAATCTGGCTTCTTAATATAGGCTAGCTGGGCTGCCTTGGCTGCCAGTTCAATGGATCTATGCTTCTGGGAGACCACTTCTGTCTCTAGACTGTAATGCCATTTTATTTTGTGGCATCCAGGCATTTCTGGATTCTGCCATGGTCCTCAGCCTCTAAGTGATGAAAGCATTGCCCTACCTGGCTTTCTGATTTGGGTTACTGACCTGGCTTTTCTGACCTGGGTTTCTAACATCTTGAACACTTTTAGGGACAAGTTACCCACTACTTCATAAGGTATCACACTCTGGTTTCAAAAACAAGAAACATTTTAAAACAACTTATGCCAGATCCTAGGATACAAAGAAGGAAACCTCATTTTTGTTTATAAAGTACTTGGAGTATCTCTTTCTCTCTCTCTCTCTCTCTCTCTCTCTCTCTCTCTCTCTCTCTCTCTCTCTCACACACACACACACACACACACACATACTGTCAAAACTGGAACAGCTTTAATAGTTAGAAAGCTACTTCTTAGTTAGAACCCTAAATCTATTTCCCTTTTGTTAGCTGGTCACCTTTCTGTTCCTTTGAGTCTCTACAAATATTTGAGTATGATTAACGTCTCAGTCTATCCTTGCTTCCCAAATCTTATCTGCCTAAGTTAAACATCTCCAGTTCCTCTATGTATTCCTTGTTTTACATCATTTTGAAGCATTTTTAAGCACTTGTTTGAATGTGTCTGTTTTTCTTAAAATGCTGAGACTTGAATATAGATATAATCTGATCAGATCAGGGTAGGACTATTATATTTCTTTTCTTTTAATGTTTTATTTATCCTTGAGAGAGAGAGACAGCGTGAGCATGGGAGGGACAGAGTGAGAGAGGGACACAGAATCTGAAGCAGGCTCCAGGCTCCGAGCTGTCAGCACAGAGCCTGACGTAGGGCTTGAACTCATAAGCAGTGAGATCATGACCTGAGCTGAAGTCAGACGCTTAACCAACTAGGCCACCCAGGTGCCCCGGTACTATCATATTTCTTATTCTGGGCCTCACCCCGCTGTTAGCGCAGTCTAGACCCCTATTCTTCTTTTATGGCTTTCATTATATTGAGTGATATTAAGAAAAACAATTCCTTTTCACATACATTGTTATCAAAACACATATCATCCTTTTGATTCTTGTGCAGCTAATATTTTAAATCTAAGAATAAATTCTTACTTCTATTAAATTATTCAGTTTTTTTTTGTTTTGGTTTAGCCTTTATGTTCCTGTACCCACTGTTTGTTAACTGTATAGTCTAGAATGAGTCATTATCTCTCAGGGGCTCAGTTTCCTTATCTGTAGAAAAGGGATCAGATCCTGTTTTCATTTTTATATGCTTATTATCTCATCTGTTCTGTTAGCTATTCTTCTTAGCTTGGTGCATTTTGTACATTTGATAAGCATCTCATCTAGTTTTCATCTAAGTCATTCCTCAAAAATTTTGGTCAAGACAGGGTCTTATATGGCTTGTCATGCCTTGAGAGACTTCCTTCTAGAAAAGTACCTGTCTAGACTTCTTCATGTCTTGGTTTGCTAGATTTTAATTTGTTTCTGTTCTCTGAAGTTAAATATCTGGACCTAATAATCATATGGTTTCAGTAGATTAAAGGAAGCTGATATTTATTACATGCTTTTTTATTTACTTTAGTCTTTATATTAACTTCATTTTGATAGATGACCTAAAAATTGAGCTTACTCAACTAGCTAGTGTTAGACCTGGAATGTTACTTTATGCTCCTGCTGTGTCCATTGTGCTACAGCCACCAGTCCTGGGGCATTTCATTCTCTGTGTGTTTTAAATTCTGTACATTTTACTGAAGTGTCTTTTTCTAGTCAAGATATTTTTGTGTTTAGCTAATCAGCAGAGGTTGATTTACTACCCTAAGTCTAGTGAATAGTTATGTAACCCAAATTGACAAACTGTTCGAGTTTCTTGAAATAGTTTTGAAGTAATTTAGCAGCCTCATTAAAAAGTTACAAACAGAATGTTGCAAATTATATAAACCCTATATATTCAAGTAATCTATTTATTCAAGTGCTTTTCTGGACCATCCTGTGTGCCAGGCACTGTGAATGCAACAGGACACTTGTCCTTAAGGATATCTCAAGTGGGACCTTTACTGATATAATTTGCTAGCAATTACTATATTTCCTTAAAAGTAGTAAAATATGCTTTAAAATAATTATGTTGGACTTAATACTTTAATGTTTCATTAGTTAATTTGTCATTGCTGAAGAAAAGTCTGGATTCTACTGCTAAACTTACAAACTACTTGAAAATACATACAGTGCTTTGATTTTTACTAACTGTTCCTTTTTATGCAGTTACTGATTTTCTTTAAAAGTAGTAAAAGAATATTATAAAATATTATATCACCTTTAATGTTTTAGTGTTTTTGTAGTTTGTCATTGGTGAAAAAAATCCAGTTTTGTTTTGTCAAACTTAGAGCCTACTGTGTTTTAAAATTTGAGGTAAGGATACAAAATGGTGATATAATTAGTTTATTAGATGGTTATTAAAATGTGTTTGTTGGAATAGTAAACTTGTCAATAAAACTATGATTATGAAGTATTTTAGTCACAAACACTGTTGACAGCTCCAAGATTTCTTACCTTCTCAAAATTCTCTGTTCCCTTGGCTTTTATTTAATGCTTTATTACCCTGGTTTTCTTCCTTTATCTTTAACCATCCCCACTCCTGTAAAAAATATTTTCTCCTTTCTGCCCCATAAGTGTATGTGATTTCCCAAAGCTCTCTTCTGGTTCTTTTCAGTTGCTCTTATGACAGCAGGACAGGAAGAATAGGAGGAGGCAGAACGTGGGGTTAGATCATAAAGTGTCTTATAACCCAAGTCAGGTAGTTTGAACTAAGGGCAGAGTGCAGCCTCTAGAGGATTTTAAACAGAAAAGTAACATGATCAGATTTTATTATTTTTAATTTTCAATTTTAATTACAAAAGTAATACTTGTAAAAAATTCAGACATTACAGAAGTGTAGAAAGTCTACTCCTTCCCTCATCATCAAGCCTGCTTCCTAAGGACAACCACCATTAGTAGTTTGAAATTGTCGTTCTGGCCTTTTTTATTTTTTCTGGCTGTATACAATCATACATATACAGAGACTTTTTTCTTTTTAAAGAAGAATGGAGTAAAATCTGCATTTTGGAAAGGCCATTATAATATGGAGGACAGATTGGAGGGAGGCAAGGGTAGAAGCAGGCTGATAAATTAGGAAACTATTTTCATAGGCCAGGTAAGAGAAGATGGGGCTTTAACTTGGGTTAAGGTAGTGGTAGTGGATATAGTGAGGAGAAAATGCATTTGGGATATATTTAAGAGATAGAGTCAGTAGAACTTGCTGATAGATTTGGGGGGAATAGTAGAGGAAAGAGTGGACTCAAGGATAAAATTAAGGTTTTGGCTTAGGCAACTGGTTAAATTCACTGAGATGGAGAAGACTGAAAGAAGAATAGATTTTGTAGGGAAAATGGTGAGATGAGTTATATTTGGATACACTGAGTTTGGGATACTTGTGCATTATTCAAGTAAAGATGTCCAATATATGTTTCAGAAAGGGAGTGAAACATTTGTATTAAGAGATAACATGTTTAGGAGTTAATAGTATCCAAATGGTAAATAATAGAAATAGAATAGAAAGCTTGCCTGGGGGAAAAATTCTAGAGAGAAAAGTAGATGAAATCCTGAAGAACTCTAACATTTAAGGGACAGAAAGAAGAATAGGAGAATCTGCCAGAGAGGTTATAGGTATGATATCAGAGGCCAAGAGAAGAGAATTTTTTGAGAAGAGAGTAGTCAACAGTGTCATGCCGCAGAAAGTAAGACTAGGACTAAAAAAAGTCCACTGGATTTGGTAATGGGGCCATTGGTCACTTGATGAGAATAATTTCTGGTATGGGAATAGAAACCAGATTTCTGTCCAGTGTGCTTCATATCTAAACAGTCACTGAATCCTGTCACTTCTTTTGTTATTGTCTTTCCCTTTCTCAGTAGCACTTCTTTCCATTTTTTTTTAGTACTAGACCGTTTACATAGTCTTCAAATTAATAGCAGTTTGAGCACCTACTCTCTCGTAGACTCTGTTGGAAATACAAAGACATGTAAGATATGATTCCTTTTCCAAGGAGGGGGAAGTAAGGGGGAGAAGGGAAGTAGTTTGAGCACCTACTACGTGCCAGGCACTTGTATGAAAACTCCTTTAATTCTCACAATAATCCTGTGAGGTCAATAGCATCCCTCCCACCCTTTTTAATAGAAAAGGAAACATACTCAGAGGTTAAGTGACTTCCCCAAGGTCACACAAAGAAGTACAGCTGGTATTTGAACTAAAAACTGTTTACCTCCCATGCCCATGTTTTTTTTAAATAATGCTTTGTTGCTTATGATCTAGGTTATAAGAAGATAAAATTGCACAAAAGTTAGAGAGCAGTTAATTTAAGCAATAGATTCAAGATAGTCATAGAAGAAACACCACTATATGATTGATTGTCACATAAATTGTATAAATGATAATTGCTAGACTTTAAGAAAATCTTCAGGATAAAAATTCTTATTTTTCATTATTCCTCCTTGTGATTTTTGGTGCCTGGCAGAGAGTAGATGCTTAATAAATGTTTGAATGAATTCAGAGGGAGTGATGACGGTAAGTGGGGGTGGCCAAGTAGGGCTTTAAGAGGAGGTGGAATTTAATCTGGGTCTTAATAAATGAATATAACTTTGAAAGAGAGGTGGGGAGGACTTTCTAGGCAGATGAACAGAGTAGGCAAAGTATAGAGTGGAGAGAGAAGTGTAAGGCAGAGGTCGCAAACAGGCAGTCTATAAGCTGGATAAGGCCTGTAGATATGTTTTGTTTGGCCTGTACAGTGTTTTAGAAAAATTGGAATTAGTTATTAATATGCAAAAGTTTCCATAAAAACCTGGATTTCCCACTACTATTGAAAATTTTAAAGATATGATCATCTTGATCCCACATTCATGCCTGACAAATGAGTGAGAGTTGAGTCATTGAGTAATTGCCACCCACTCCAGTCATCCGCTTGGATGGATGTTTACTCTCCATACATGATTATCTTTGCTTTTGTACATTTACTGGCCTGGCCCATATTAGCAAGTTTGCGACCCCTGGTGTAAGGTATTTTGGGGGTTTGGGAGGTAGTGGGGTTGGGGAGGAACTCTGAATAAACCAAATTGGACTGAAGCAAAAGGCTTTATTAATGTGACTCATTGGGGAATATAAAGCTAGATTGGAAGCCAAATTCTGAAGGACCTTGAATGCCCGCTTGCAGGCATGGAGGAACCATTGAAAGTTTTTTTGAATGGGGAGTGACATGTTCAAAGTAGTGTTAAGAAGATGAACCTGACAGTAGCCTATAGGATAAAGTAAAATGGGTAAGGTTTCCTGGTGGGAGGTAATTATGGAGCTATTATATTTGTATAGGCTTGAAAAGGTAAGGGCCTTCCTTAATGTTAGTGGCAAGTTGTAAAACAAGGAGTGGAATTGAGAGATTACAAAGGAATATCAGTGAATGTGGACAGAGAAGTCAACAATGACCTGCTCCCCACTCCAAATGGGACATTAACTGAAATAGGAAAACCAGTAGAGGGAGTGAGTTGGGTTATGGTTATGCTTGTTTTGTATTAGTATTGTTATTAAATTTTTTTGTGGAGAGTGTTGATGAGTCAGGGAAGAGCTATTAAATGGTATATGTCTCTGTCTTACATGTTGAAATTTTAACATTTATGTTATAATTGGAGATTGTTTCTGCTCTAAGCACTAAAGCACTAAAAAGTAAAATGACTTACATGAAAGCCAGCTCTGTAGCTCTTAGGTGCTCCACCTTGCCACTAAACTACACTACTAAGCTAAAAATCACCTTAATGTTGTAGCTTTGAGCATTTCACTCCACTTTGGTCCTTCTAAATTCCATGGGTTAGTTCTTTTTTGGTTAGCTAATTTTGAATTTCACCTCACATGCTATAATACTAGATTTGTCATATTTGTCTTCCAGTTGATGTAGAACATTCTCATGTTCGATTTCTGGGAAACCTGGTATTGAACCTGTGGGACTGTGGTGGGTAAGTACCATCTGCTTGTTTGTGGGGCCAGTGGCAGTAATCTTAGCACCTAGTATAATCAGTGTGGAAAATATAGTAACTATCACTTGTAATAGATACTTTGGAAAGAAATTACTTCAGAATTGGCACCTGATTAAAGATCTCTGACTTTTATGTAATTGTGAATATACCCTCTCTATGTGACATGTTTAATCAGCACTAACATAAGCTTTATCTAGGTATCTGTAGTATGGGATAGATTATCACCCTCTTTTGCAGGTGAAAAAATTAGGTTTTTATCTCAAGTGGCATAACACCAATGCTGAGTTCTTAGTCATCATACCATATTACCTCATTCTTAATTATTTCAATCTCCAGGGAGTCTAAGCACTGTAGATTGACCTAAGCACATATTCTCCAGTTGAGTTACCAGCTGTTTGAGGAGTAGGAAACAGTTTTTCCTCTCATGGCTGAGGCACTTCCAGAATATTCCATCACAAATGCATATTCATTGTGCTTATATGTGGTATTGGTCCCTACCCTATGGCCATTTGCATCTCCATGCTGCAACAGCAGTGTGTAGTGCACAGTTGATGTAGAACATCATTAGGAGCCTCGGCCCTGGAGTTAGATTGGGATTTATAGCACACCTCTGTTAGCTGTGTTATCTTGGGTAGATCATTTAAAGTCTGAGCTACAGTTTCTTCATCTATACAGTAGGGATAATAGTGGTACCCACTCAATAGGGTTGTTTTGATGATTCAGTCATAGGAAAGTTTCTCACAAAATAAATAGACATTATTGTTAGCTCAGTGTTTACCAGCTCTTGGCATAGAACCAACCATGGAACAGGTGCTCAATGAACCTTTTGTTGAAAGAATAATGAAATAGCCAAATATTTTATAAGAAAATGACTTCATTATTGCTAGCAGATGAATCACTTAATCCTCTAGCAGCTCTCTCCATACAGATCCTTCCTCATTATCATTCTTCTAATTCTGTAATCTATTTCAAGAGATTAGTCAACATTCCTTGCTTTGAGGCACTAAGGTGTTATCATTAATTTTGCAGATAAGGCAGTTGAGGTCCAGTGAGATTATGAATCCCTCAAGGTCACACAGCTAATTAATAACAAAGTGCAAGACTAAAAGCTTGTGACATGACAAAACGTTTTTTATTATTTAATTTTAATTCCAGTATAGTTAGCATACAGTATCACATTAGTTTCAGGTGTACAATATAATGATTCAACAATTCCATACAATAACCGTTGCTCATCAGGATAAATGCACTCCTTTATCCCCATCACCTATATCACCCATCTCCTCTATCTGCTTCCTTTCTGGTAACCATCAGATTGTTCTCAATACTTAAGAGTCTGTTTTTTTTGGTTTCTCTTTCTCTCTCTCTCTCTCTTCCTTTGCTTACTTGTTTGGTTTCTTAAATTCCAACAAAACTACTGTTTTTTTGCTGGATGCCTGGTAATTCAGAACTTCTTGGTAAGCAGCACACAGCCTAAGGATCAAAGAACAACACTTATAAAAAATTATCTTGGAGTCATTGTCATATAGTTTAGAGTATATGACAGTTATTCATTCAATAAACATTCACTGAGCACCTACCATATGGCAAGCTGTTTGCTTAAAGCTAGGAAACAACAGCAGACAGTAACAGATATGGTCCTTGCTTTCATGGAACTTATTGTGTAGGGAAGTGAATTCCATTAATTAAAAACTTGCACAGACACATGTAGTATCACATTTATGGTTAAGTATTACAAACAATGTTGGGGTGCCTGGGTGGCTCAGTCAGTTAAGCATCCTGCTTTGGCTCCTGTCATGATCTCATGGCTCATGGTTTCATGCCCTGCATTGGGCTCTCTACTGTCAGCACAGCAGAGTTTCCTTTGGATCTTCTGTCTTCTACTCTGCTCCTCTCCCACTTGTGCACATGCTCTCTCTCTCTCTCAAAAATAAATAAACATAAAAAAACAGTGTTATATTAGGGCCTATGGTGACTGGATTTGCTCAAGACAGGGAGGTCAGGGATGGTTTCTGTGAGGAAATATAGATTGAACTGAAATCTAAAGGGACAATTAGGAGTTAATTAGATGTGTAGATAGGGGAATAGCATGTGCAACAGAGTAAACAGAATGTGTAAATGCCCCTTGGTGGATACACCACAGGCTAGTCGAAATGAGAGAAGGTCAAAGTGTATTTGGAACACAAGGAGAGGAGCAAAGAGTGATGCTCAAGGAACACTAGGAGAGGGGCAAAGGTGTGGCTCAAGATATAAGGTGAGGCCATACCTTTTTGACTTACTTATTTTACTGTTTATTTGCCTATTATTTGCCTAGTAATTTGAAGCCTTAAGATTGTCTTTCACGTTATTTAAGCCGACAAAAATAGATTGTAAGTAGGAGTGACTAAACCAAGGACTTGTTTACTACCTAGATTTTTTTTTTCCTACTAGACAGGACAACTTCATGGAAAATTATTTCACTAGCCAGCGAGACAACATCTTCAGAAATGTGGAGGTTCTGATATATGTGTTTGATGTGGAAAGCCGTGAATTGGAAAAGGACATGCACTATTACCAATCATGCCTAGAGGCCATTCTGCAGAATTCTCCAGATGCCAAAATCTTTTGCTTGGTACACAAAATGGATCTGGTACAGGAGGATCAACGGGACCTGGTAAGAAATATAAAGAGTGCTGCACAAAATGGTTGACATGCTTTCTAAACTTTTTTTGTAGAGATATAGGTAAATGGTAGGATTATTTTCAGGAAGAATAAATATCAGCATAAGTACTCAAAGATTTTTAAAATACTCATAAATTTTCTATTGTAAGGGAAATATAATATCCATTTGGCAAGTAATTTTCAGACTTATGTAAGGAACTTGTCAATGTGATATAAAGCAGCTTTTACGTATTTTTATTAAATAAAATTAACATATAGTATTATATTTCAACTATACAGTATAATGATTCATCAGTTCTATACATTTCTCACTGCTCATCAAGATAAGTGTATTCTCTAGGTTGATCCATGTTCTAGGTCGATCCATGTTCTTAAAAATGGCAAGTTTTCATTTTTTGGCTGAATAATACTCCAGTGTGTGTGTGTGTGTGTGTGTGTGTGTGTGTGTGTGTGTGCGAGAGAGAGAGAGAGAGAGAGAGAGAGACAGAGTATATCTATCATATCTTCTTTATCCACTCATCAATGGATAGACACTTGGGTTGCTGCCATGTCATGGCTATTGTAAATAATGCTGCAGTACAGGGACCCACATATCTTTTTACATTTGTATTTTCCTTTCCTTTGGGTAAATACCCAGTAGTGGAATTACTAGATCATATGAAAATCCTATTTTTAATTTTTTTGTGACATCTCCATACTGTTTTTCTCAGTGGCTGCACCAATTTGCCTTCTTACCAGCAGTGTATGAGGGTCCCTTCTTCTCTATATCTTTATCAACACTTGTTATTATTTCTTGTGTATTTTTATTTTAGCCTTTCTGAGAGGTGTAAAGTGATACCTTGTTCTGGTTTTAACTTGGACTTCCCTAATGATTAGTGATATTGAACATCTTTTCATGGGTGTTGGTCATGGTTATGTCCTCTTTGGAAAAATGTCTGTTCAGGTCCTCTGCCCATTTCTTAACCTGGATTTTTTTGTTTTATGGGAGAGGGGGTTGAATTAAGTTTTTTATACATTTTTGATATTAACCCCTTATTAGATATATCATTTGCAAATATTTTCTCCCATTTGGTAGGTTGCCTTTTTGTTTTGTTAATGGTTTACTGTATTGTGCAAAAGCTTTTTATTTTTATGTAGTCCCAGTAGTTTGATTTTGCTGTTGTTTCCCTTGCCAGAACAGGTATCTAGAAAAATGTTTCTATGACCAATGTCAAAGAAATCGTTGCCTATGTTTTCTCTTAGGAATTTTATGGTTTCAGGTCTCACATTTAGGTCTTTACTCCTTTTTGAGTTCATTTTTTGTGTATGGTGTAAAAAACTGGTCCGGTTTCATTCATATCTATGTAGCTATTCAGTTTTCCCAGTAACATTTGTTGAAGAGATTGTCTTTTTCCTGTTGTATATTCTTGCCTCCATTATGATATATTAATTGATCATATAAGCATGGATGTATTTGTGCTCTATTTTGTTCCATGGACTATATATGTCTGTTTTTATGTCAGTACCATGCTGTTTTGATTACAGCTTTGTAGTAGATCTTGAAATCTGGGATTCTGATACCTCCAGTTTTGTTCTTTTTAAGGATTGCTTTGGTGGTTCGGGGTCTTCTGTGGTTCCATACAGATTTTAGGATTATTTGTTCATTTGTTCTAGTTTTGTTAAAAATCCTGTTGGTATTTTGATAGGATTGCATTAAATCTGTATATTGCTTTGGATAGTATGGACATTTCAGTTTTGTTCTTTCTAGACATGAGCGTGGAATATCGTTTCCATTTGTTAGTGTCATCTTCAATTTCCTTCTTTAGTATGTTAGAGTTTTCAGAATACAGGTCTTTCATCTTCTTGGTTTATTCCTACATATTTTATTTATTATTTTTTTTTGCAATTATAAAAGGAATTATTTTCTTACTTTCTCTTTCTGTTACTTAATTATTAGTGTATGGAAATGCAGTAGATTTCTGTGTATTAATTTTATATGCTGGGACTTCAATGAATTCATTTATCAGTTCAAGTAGTGAACTGGATATATATTATCATATATATATATTCATATATATATATATATATATATTCATTTTTGCTCTTGACTCTTTTGCTTTTGGGGATGTGTCAAGTAAGAAGTTGCTGCGGTGGAGGTCAAGGAGGTTGTTTCCTGCTTTCTCCTCTAGGGTGTTGATAGTTTCCTGTCTCACGTTCAGGTTCTTAATCCATTTTGAGTTTATTTTTGTGTATGGTGTGAGAAAATGATCTAGTTTCATTCTTCTGCATGTTGCTGTCCAGTTCTCCCAACACCATATGTTAAAAAGGCTGTCTTTTTTCCATTGGATATTCTTTCCTGCTTTGTCAAAGATTACTTGGCTGTATATTTTGGGTCCACTTCTGAGTTCTCAATTCTGTTCCATTGGTCTATGTGTCTGTTTTTGTGCCAATACCATACTGTCTTGATGATGACAGCTTTGTAGTAGAGGTTAAAGTCTGGGATGGTGATACCTCCCGTTTTGGTTTTATTTTTCAGGATTACTTTGGCTATTCGGGGTCTTTTGTGGTTCCATACACATTTTAGGATAGTTTGTTCTAGTTTTGAGAAGGATGCTGGTGCCATTTTGATTGGAATTGCATTGAATGTGTAGATAGCTTTGGGTAGTAATGACATCTTAACTATATTTATTCTTCCTATCCATGAGCATGGAATGTTTTTCCATTTCTTTGTGTCTTCTTCAATTTCCTTCATAAGTTTTCTATAGTTTTCATCATAGAGATCTCTTGTATCCTTGGTTAGGTTTATTCCTAGGTATTTTATGGTTTTTTTGTGCAATTGTGAATGGGGTCAGTTTCTTGATTTCTCTTTCTGTTGCTTCATTGTTGGTGTATGAAAATGCGACCGATTTCTATACACTGATTTTTTACCCTGCAACTTGGCTGAATTCTTGGATCAGTTCTAGTAGGCTTCTGGTGGAGTCTGTCGGGTTTTCTATGTAGAGTATCATGTCATCTGCGAAGAGTGAAAGTTTGACTTCCTCTTTGCCAAATCTGATGTCTTTGATTTCCTTTTGTTATCTGATGGCTGATGCTAGGACTTCCAGCACTATGTTAAACAACAGTGGTGAGAGTGGATATCCTGTCGTGTTCCTGATCTCAGGGGGAAAGCTCTCAGTTTTTCCCCGTTGAGGATGATGTTAGCTGAGGGCTT